TATAGAATATACATATTGGTGCAACATTAAACAAGTATTACAAATGGGATGAACGTAATACAATAGCCTTTTTAATATATTTACAGCATTGAAGTAAATCAGTTAGTTTGCCTGAGCGTATATGCATAAATAACTGAGATTCACAATATATATTTGGAATGTGTTTCCTGCATTAGCTATGTCTCTACGTTATAGTTATCATATAATAGTTCATATCACTACATTATCTTCGTATTTGTGCTGACGACTTCTGTGACAGTGGTAATGTATATCCCAGTGCAAGTTACTGACTGCTGGGCTGTTTAGTCTGGTGGTAATCACGTCGTATGTTCATTACGGTATACAGTTTTAGAAAGCTAATTCGGTTAAATACGGTATATATGGAGACAATGTTGGAGACTCCGTCTGATCCAGAAGCCAATTACACAGTCTAACATTTCACACTGCGACTTGGTATTTTGGTATTTAAGGATTGTGTCTAGGGAAGAGCGAGGGATTAAACAGGGATTTAGATATCACAACAGGTGAAATTATTTTCCCACCAGTCGCGGCGCCTTGTAATTGTACTTTTGTTCATGGGGCTGGATACAGCTCTGACAAGACGCTCGTCCACGATTCCATTACTTGCCTACCTGTGGTATCGTGTGACATTACTTGCCTACCTGTGGTATCGTGTGACCTATGCTCTGTCAGTACTGTCAGAGTGACATGTGACACTCGTTGTCCGGGAGAGACATCTACACTTACCTGACATGTTCGACTTGTTGTACTGATAAAATCTTTGTTTTGTCATTGGGCCCCTTCTATCTGTCTAGGTAGGGGGTTAATTGTCTTGTAGACTGGGGTTTCGCTATGCTATATCAACATTGTTCCTTGACGCTTTGCGTGGTTTGGAAGGCTCTGTTCCTTTCCCTTTCATAGTAAGTACTATAATATGTCTTGCACTAAATTTCAGATATTTCATTTATTATTTAACTTTGTGTATTTTAACGATACTGCCCCTTTTAAGTGTTTAGAGCGTATTTAGTTTCTGTACCGTAAAATAACGTAATGATAATATGACTGTTTAGTTCGATGGGGCGAACATATTTTGACCATGCAACGAACTTCTTAGTATACACGAAAATGATCAGAAACATTATATTTTTAAATTAATATATACACCTGTATTGATCACCCTCACTACGCTGTCAATCACTGGATTGTCTGGTCCAGACTTGATTATTTACAGACCGCCGTCATATAGCTGGAATATTGCTCTGTGCGGCGTTAAACAAAAAACAACAACTTCACCATGCTTCCCTGCAGGATCCGCTACATTCTTATGTAAGAGTTAGGTCCCGTACCTTCCATGCAGGATCCGCTACATTCTTATGTAAGAGTTAGGTCCCGTACCTTCCCTGCAGGATCCGCTACATTCTTATGTAAGAGTTATGTCCCGTACCTTCCCTGCAGGATCCGCTACATTCTTATGTAAGAGTTATGTCCCGTACCTTCCCTGCAGGATCCGCTATATTCTTATGTAAGAGTTATGTCCCGTACCTTCCATGCAGGATCCGCTACATTCTTATGTAAGAGTTATGTCCCGTACCTTCCATGTGGGATCCGCTAAATGCTTATGTTTGAGTTATGTCCCGTAGGTTCCCTGCAGGATCCGCGACATGCTTATGTAAGAGTTATGTCCCGTAGGTTCCCTGCAGGATCCGCTACATTCTTATGTAAGAGTTATATCCCGTAGGTTCCCTGCAGGATCCGCTAAGTGCTTATGTAAGAGTTATGTCCCGTACCTTCCGCTACATGGTTCTAGATTCAATCACCAGCTGTGGTCATGTTACAAGTGATCATGTACAACAGCCAAAATCTGCGCACCCTCGATTATCCAGTGTAGCATTTCCATATATAACTGTATAATCGATGATGCGATCTGCGTCAGGGCGACTGTTTCTCCCATGTCACTGAAATACAGTAAAAATCTCACTCACTGGAACGTTCACACAAACACGTTGTAATGAAACTCGTAAAATCGCATGTTGATTAAAAGTTACGCGAATGATATGAACATATTAAAAAATATTGATAATCCTAGACACAATTTTCAACGACGGTATGACAATAATATTTGTTTACTCGGAAACAGTACCCACACTTGATCAAACAATATGAGCATTTCTGCTGACGGAAATCAATATGAAAGACACTGTCACGTCTCTAAATAGGCTTATGGGCTTATGTCGAGTTAATTAAAAACCGTGTACTCCCCGACTTTCTCTGTAACTCTGAGGGGGGTGAACGTAATGTGCAGTTGACGCGAGGCCATACCAAGGCCAGGTTTAATGTCCGCGACGCATGTGGACAAATAAACTCATTCCTGCTCGTACTCCAGGAGCCATACTGGCACATATTGGAGGAAAATTGGCTGAGAGGAGAGGGGTTATTGATATTTTGGACCCTCCATTTTCAAAGTGATGGATCCGTCCTTGTGCAGGTTCGATAGGGATGTGTGTGATTCAGGTATGTTTGGATGAATATGTTTAAGAGCTAATATTTACATCTTTATGAAGACTAGATACCTATATGTTTGATCTGTTTCCTCCGAATGAAATGTATCGTTGTCACATCAGCGTTTACAGTATACGTTTACCATTGCTGCACGGTACAGTTGTACGTTGGGGCAGTCATGTTATCTCTAGTCAGTGTACAGGTGCTCGCTGCTAGGGCCAGCAGTTGTAGAACGAGAATGTGACATTCTACACGTCTAGGACGTCGGGGTTTTGAGTAAGTCTGAATGCCTGGGGGCGCGATCGTGGTCGTAAACTGTCCGGTCTGGCAAGATGAACCAGCTGCCATATTGCACACTGTAAACTTGGGCGTGCTGATACTGGAGCACATAAATGGCACCTGGCTAAAGGGGACTATATGTGTAGTGTCAGCCTTGTTCTGACTAGAGCTTCCTATATAGCAGGCACCTGTCATATTCCAACTATACAGCTGACTATATGTCAGGAACCGGTCGTATTCTGACTAACTGAAAATAGATCGGGCGCCTGTCATATACTGACTAGAACTCCCTTTATATAGCAGACACCTGTTATGTATGTATGTTTGTTGTTTAACGCCGCACTTAGCAATATTCCAGCTATATGACGGCGGTCTGTAAATAATCGAGTCTGGACCAGACAATCCAGTGATTGATATCATGAGCATCGATCCACGCAATTGGGATCGATGACATGCATCAACCAAGTCAGCGAGCCTGACTACCCGACCCCGTTAGTCGCCTTTTACGACAAGCATAGTCACCTTTTACGGCAAGCATGGGTTGCTGAAGACATATTCTACCCCGGAATCTTCACGGGCAACCTGTTATGTACAAGCTTCAACTGACTGTATGGCAGGAACCGGAAGTACATTAAATTGCCGGTAAAATAATTGTGTTACACTAGGTCTGTCACATCCTGGCTTCTGCCGGGCAACAGAATACCAATATAAGGTGGTGGCGATTTCATATGACCTAAAGTCGGATAGTCTTCACTGCGTCCGCCTACTGTGTACTGTCTGTACACAAGGGCACCTGTAGTATACTGATAGTGAACACCTGTAGTATACTGATAGCGAACACCTGTAGTATACTGATCATTACCCAGGCACTGCAGCATACTGTTATCGAACACCTGTAGTATACTGATAGCGAACACCTGTAGCATACTGATCATTACCCAGGCACTGTAGCATACTGTTATCGAACACCTGTAGTATACTGATAGTGAACACCTGTAGCATACTGATCATTACCCAGGCACTGTAGCATACTGTTATCGAACACCTGTAGTATACTGATAGCGAACACCTGTAGCATATATAATGACTGCATGCATGGCGGATAATTGTTTTACATAAACCTCATTGCAAGCCACTTATGCACACTGACTGCATACACTGGACACCTGTGGTACGCTGACTGCATATTACGGGCACCTGTTGTATGATGAAAAAAGGGGACCTGTAACGTACAGACTATATATAGCGGGCACCTGCCGTATACAGACTATATATAGCGGGCACCTGCAGTATACAGACTATATATAGCGGGCACCTGCCGTATACAGACTATATAGCGGGCACCTGCAATATACAGACTATATATAGCGGGCACCTGCAGTGTACAGACTATATATAGCGGACACCTGCCGTATACTGCCGACATCCAGACTCTACTGCGGGCACCTGCTATACACTGACTTCACATATATAGCGGGCAACATGCAACAAAAATGTTCCCGATCGGTGTTTAGTGGTATGACCTCTCAAAGCGGCGTTAAACCCAACTCACTCACTAGCCGTAGGACTGTTATCTCTAACAGTTGAGCAAGCGACACACATCACTACTGTTCAAGTGACCTACTGTGAGTAATGAGGTAACAAATAGCCCGTAATCTGCCATCGTTGTAATGTACAGCCCTCGTGTACTAACTATCGATTGATATGACAAGAATACCTCGGCCAGGTTAGATAACACTTCGATATGTCTGCACACTGCGTCAAGTGAGCGTATGAGATATAAGCCGCTATAGCGAGGGCCGAAGGTTGCTGCAAAATAGCCTCCGTTATGGCCTCTTGGTATGACGGTAAGCCTCTTTAGATAGATATGCACTCTTATAAGGTCGGATGTTATTGCCGATGTTGATGATTTTGACGTTAATGTAGAAACGGTTGAAAGGAATGACATGTCATTGCTGTCCAGTTGTATGTAGACGCCATCTTGTTATATTATATATAACCACAAAGTGCAATGTTTGACCGAATTTAACTTAAGCCGTAAGTGCATCTAGCGGGATGTTATTGACGAGTCACAGCCTTTGTGGATAGAATGCACTGTTGTGTCGTCTCACGTTACAAAGTTCGCATTCACGTATTTTAAAATTGGTTGATGATTCATCTTGCTTTTAGATGGTAATGAATTTGATGGCCAATATATTTAATTACGAAACTTTATTTTCCAGACCTCGCAGTAGGAGTCGCCGCCTCAGCCGCGGTGTGTGGAGCTCCGGACAATGGGCTATGACGTGGACCGTTTCATAGGTAAAGTAAACGAAGGCCTGCTTTGCTGTGTGTGTCGCGACGTTCTAGAAGACCCCCAGCAAGCACCGTGTGAGCACGCGTTTTGTCGCAAGTGCATTCTGGGCTGGCTCGAGAACGAGGCTTCCTGTCCAGAAGACCGTCATCCATTACGCCCGCGAAACCTACGGCCATTGTTCCGGTACATGAAAAACGATCTTTTGAGGTTGCGTATCCGGTGTAAGAATTTCCGTAAGGGGTGTGAACACATCAGCAATCTGGAGACTGTAAGCAAACACGAGGAGGTATGTCCTCAACAGCCGGTGCCATGCCCAAACAAGGGGTGCACGTGTACCTTCTCCCCCGCAGAGCTCGAGCAGCACATGCTGAAGTGCGAGTTCGGCAGCAGAGAGTGCACAAAGGGCTGTGGTCTGACTGTAACGACGTTGGATGAGCGGGAACACAACTGTATTGCCGAACTCCGGTCAAATATCCAACTGTTGCGGTCTGAGATGATTTGTCGGCTTGACGACCAGAAGAAGGAGATGGAGTTGCGTCTGGACATGCAGCGATGTCACATGGTGGCCAGGGAAGCCGCACTGCAGGCCAACATAGACGAGCTGAAGGAAGACATTGGAAAGATCAACAAGAAGGTCAAGCTTCTCCTGGAGCTGGAGCTGAAGAGAAGACAGGATCTGGAGAAGATGCACACGGAGCGCCGTGAGCTTCTTGAGGTGTTGCGGGACATTCAGGCTCAACATGAGGATTCTCAGCAGACGACAACACCGACCACCTGCAGACATTGCAGTAACGGGAACAAGGGTGGCAAGGTCACGACCTTGTAGTCATCCAATAGGGGAGATAACTCCCGTGACCTGCAGACATTGCAGTAACGGGACAAGGGTGGCAAGGTCACGACCTTGTAGTCATGTAACAGGGGAGATAACTCCGGCGACCAGAGAAGGAATGGTTAATCTTGTTGCTTTACAACGGATGACAGGCACATGTGCCACTCGGAAGAAAAGGCAACATGCATTGAGAGTCCGATATAGTGCTTGAACAAAAGATACCTCAATGCTATTTGGACGTGACTGATTTGAACGAATGTTATTGATACTGACGTGCATGTTGGCGGCCGCAATATTCCATCGATATTTGAATCTGCACTCGTGAATTCCGGAAGGATTGTGTCCACGTGATCTAATGGAATATATTTGCCTACTGCGCTTGTGTTTGTTGAAGATATCAGCTGTCCCTGTGTGTAACAAGATTCCATTCACAGTATCGATTAAAGTCTGGGTGCCGTGAACGCCACGACTACTTCATGAAGTGATGCAACAGCATCGACACTGGTGCCTCCAGCGTCTCCAACGTCCCTTTAACGTGAATGTTTCACATCGCGTCACGAAACATGTGACAGTGATGTCTTAAGTGCTATGGATGTACGGCTGAAGTCTGGATACAGCATGGTGTCAAACATCATGGCAGAGACTCTGGGCCCGGGCGCACAAAGTGAACTCAGCAGTAATGCCCCATTATAACCAGATGCGTTACTCCGATTTGATACACTGTGGAATGGGAGTAAAAGATCTGATTATCACGAGGTTGCACTATGCTAACCGTGGTCCTAACACTGTGATCATTTGTGCAGACGGGCCAGGGTTAAGATACTTCACGGTGACATCGACGACGCCTTTGCGGAAGTTTAAAAAAAGGTTACCATGGTTACTGATATATCTGAGGTTGCATTATGCTATTGGTGGTCCTAACATTGTGATCATTTGTGCAGATGGGCCAAGGTTAAGATACATCATGGTGACATCGAAGACGCCTTTGCAGAAATTTGAAAAAAGGTTACCATGGTTACTGTGTCAGGCATGTGGTGTATCGTGTGGACAGTATACATACATCGTGTCCGCAGTGTGATATGACTCGGTAACATTCCTCAAACGATGGCTGCTATATACTATTTGAACATTGGTGGTGTTTCGTTGATTCTGGTGGTGTTTAACTCATTTAGCAGACTGTGTCCTTGGTACACCATGTGCATTTATTGTAGTCTTCCTGGATACAAGTTCTCGTTTTTTTGTAACATGGTTTGTTGTTTTCAATAATTATCAATTAATGCAACCTTTCAATTTCCGCCACTTTTACTTGATTATCTGATGAACACAACTACACTACTTCTTGGCCGGTGGGATAGCTGAGTGGTTCAAGCGTTCGCTCGCCAGGCTGAAGGCCAGGGTTCGATTCCCATTTCTGGTGTCCCCCCGCCGTGATATTGATGGAATATTGCAAAAAGCGGCGTAAAACCATACTCACTCTTTCACTCACACTAATTCGTTGCTACTTTGTCCATATATATGGCAGCACTGATATGAAATTTCAGAGCTCTAAGCTTTTGGTGCTTAAGAGCTTGCTCAAACATACATTATATTTGGGTGCTTAAAGACGGGGTTTGATCATCTGCCAGAAGCCACTTCCGGAAACATTATGTTCTGTTAACCCAACGCATACGTCGCCGGAAGCCAGTATATTGTTACTATTTTAGATACACAATGCAGTAAGATAAATATAAAAGACTTCCAGCTCAAAGTCCTCGGGACCATCAACATAATGTCGAGTTTACCGTTGTTCGAGCCAGCAGTATCAGTGCCGAGATTGCTGTCAGAACCATACAGTGACATGGGTTACCCCCGTGAAGATCCTGCTGGTTAGAACTTGTCTTAACAAGCCGTGCTTGTCGTAAGAGGCTACTAACGGGATCGGGTGATGCTCCCCGTGAAGATCCTGCTGGTTAGAACTTGTCTAACAAGCCGTGCTTGTGGTAAGAGACAACTAAAGGGACCGCGTGATGCATGCCATCGTTTCCCAACAGCGTCGATGCTTATTATGTCAATCACTGGATTGTCTGGTCCAGATTCTATTACTTACAGCTGCTATATAGCTGGAATATAGCTGAGTGCGGCGTTAAACAACACATAAAGAAACAAAACATCTATATCGAGTAATGGACTTAAGTTTATATGTTCTATAGTATGTGATGTGTAGTATGCCTGGCACGAGGACTTGTCTAGTATTGTTTTTGTTGTATATTTAGTATTGGTCGCTTGTCTTCTGAACCATGTGTCGAGTTTGGTGCTGTTCATCGCCATTGTCATGCCATGTGGTCAAAACTGGTCATCCTATAAAAACCGCTTGCATAATACGTAAGACCCATACCTCCCTACATATTTATTCTATCCAATGAGTTGTTGGCAAATAGCATAATACTATGGCTGTGAAGGTATTATGACAATCATGTTGGTATCTGATCTTCTCAGACAGCCAGGGGAGAAAACTCCAGGGGAAAGACGTCCCATATTCTCGAAGAGACTGAACGTTCGTACAACCGTATGGTGGAATCCTGTATTAAAGAGAGTCCAGTTAATGAAGGGACCGTTCTCCGAATTAAAGGGACTCTCCTGGCTGTCTGAACATCGCATTTCGTCCTCCCCTGTCCATGAGTACCTCAGGAATATGGCGAAAATATATATGAAATATTATCCGAAATATCTCCCAAATAAGATATTCTTTACAAGAAATTGCCTTGACTTTTGATGAGAATCATCATTTCTTTAGGCCGCTAAGAGGTCGTTTCTGTCAGTTGCATGCTGCCTTCATTGTGTCCATTTTCCTGCAGTGAAACCCCTTTAATCTGGAATGGTACGGCATGACTATAAATGTACAAAAGGACGTACAACGATTCAGACATCCGGACATTTATTATCCCTGGCGATTTCTGTGGGAGCGGTACCGTCTGGATTTTCGAGGTTTCACTGCATATCTCTAGAACGATTTGAGGGTCGTCTTCTCGAAGCGACATCAGTGGTGTCAACTTGAAACGTGGTTGGAATAATGTCATAGCTACAAAGTGAATCTAGGACGAAACACTGTTTTGGCATGTTGATCTGGAACAAATATTCAAATATACTCACCGCCAAAAGAAACGCGAACCAAAGAAACATAGAGAAGTATGTACGTTAAGAAGAGATGTTTCCAATGTGTACTACTTAATGACAAAACTAACAATCAGTCAAGTGTTACCACATGGTGTCTTTATTCTTATCACGATGTGCTGCACGTGATTTCCAAACTTAATACTGCACGAGAGAAATGGTGCATCTCAAGTCATGGATCTATGACGTCACATTTGATGGGTTCATGAGCGTCGGTTCATACAACATAACAGTATGTTCGTTTGTGCATCGAACCAATCTAATATCTCTTGAATATGATAAAGTCTTCATATATTAACCAACATGTATGTTTTTCGGGGTTTTTTTGTGGGTGAGTATAATTATAGTCACTTAAAACCGCTTCGAGAACACGACCCGGAATGGGACAAATGAGACGAGCATCCTCGACAGTCGGGGGTATTATTTGGCACATAAAGCCAGCATATATGTTGGTGGAGACATTATAGCCCCGGTTGCCGAGGATGGTAAGTACTAATTTCCTGCCTGTATTAAATCATTGGTGACATAGCTTTACTAATTAATTTAACATTCGATGTACATTTTACAGACATGCATGCCATACCATTGTTTCTGTATGAAGATAACGTTGTATCATATCTCTTGGAATAATGTGGAACTATGTTTCGTTATTCATTGTCTTGGAATACATAACCAATCACGGGCCTGGGAGGTGGTGCCATGTGATGTATGGATGTTTTTGACATGCGGCGAAATCTATTTTAGCAGCAGACACCATCCGAAAGAGTTTATGCAAGACAGCAGCATTTTGTATCATTCAATGGATGCATTCTGTACATACGACTGTCTCATTCTTGGAAATATATTATTCAATACAAGAGTTGATATAATCATTGCTTGTGTTGTATTTTCTCTGGATCCAACAAGGACGATTTGGTGGTTGGCTTGTCACTGTGTATCCTTCACTCTGTAAACACGGAACCGTTGACCACGTGGACAACAACGTGGACAACGACATGGACAACAACGTGGACAACGCAATGGTCCATAAAGTGGACAACGACATGGACACTTACGTGGACAACGACATGGGCAATAACATGGTAAACAACGTGGACAACAACTTGGACAACGACATGAACAATAACGTAGACAACAACATGGGTAACGACATGGACCACAACGTGGACAACGACATGGGTAACGACATGGACAACAACGTGAGCAACGACATGGACAACGACATGGGCAACAACGTGGACAACAACGTGAACAACGACATGGACAACGACATGGGCAATAACATGGTAAACAACGTGGACAACAACTTGGACAACGACATGAACAGTAACGTGGACAACAACATGTAAAACGACATGGACCACAACGTGGACAACGACATGGACAACGACATGGGCAACGACATGGACAACGACATGGACAACGACATGGGCAACGACATGGACAACAACGTTGACAACGACATTGACAACAACGTTGACAACGACATGGGAAATAACGTGGACAACAACTTGGACAACGACATGGGCAATAACGTGGAGAACGACATGACAACATGTGTGTTTGTGTAAGTGTGTGTGTTGCTGCTTGTACCAGTCCGAACTAATGCCGGTTTTATAGTGCTCGCCCACTGAGATACAATGCCACTGTTTAACTTGTATACCCCACTCATACACATCACTCTGACTCCGAGCCGACCAGTCCTTGTTTACCTCCTTGGACCAGACAATCCAGTGAGTGACATCATGAGCATCGATCTACACAAATGGAATACGATGACATACATCAACCAAGTCACCGAGCCTGACCACCCGATCCCGGTAGTCGCCTCTTACGACAAGTATGGGTCGCTGAAGGTAAATTCTAGCCCGGATCTTCACGGAGCGTTATGTATCACAATACTATTGCTATATATCATTATCAATAACACGTCCCCAATAAGTCTCAGACATAAGGTAAACTTATTATATCCGTCTCATTCCATATTTAGCTCCCTGCGGTGAAGAAGTCCATCGCGTCTGTAAATGTCACTTTTACGTGGTTTTCGTAGTCATAGCAACGCGGGTAATTTCCAGGAATGATTTCACACATGCCTCTCAATACTTTTGACTTCGTTCCAAGTTGTATTGGCATTAGTGCCAAAAAATATGGTTGAAAACATTTACCGCTTTGGTAAAACCAACGCTCGTGGTTATGGTGCTGACTAATCGGGTTATCATCGGGTTTCGAACACACAATCAACGCATCCCGCTACGGCTAGGGGACCTAATCTGGCTAGTACAGAACACAGGGGATTTGAAACAAACATATTACCTATAAGGTTTGCAAGCATGATAACATGTCTTTGACAGTCATGTCATGTGATTTCAGGGGGTAAGGTTAGGTACATATTGTAATGACTTCAATTCAGATTGTGAAACATGACACAAACAAGATGGATGTTGAAGGTCAAGTCTATCTGTAATCTTCTCATGAAACTAGGCCCAGGTAGATTGTGTACATGGGATAGCTTCCGATTCTGTCCACTTTTCTCAGTATTGGGATTTTGTCAACGCCAACTCATTTGTGATTTTTATTTCCCCGATCCTTTTTTGTATCATGGAGCCAGTGAAGTGTTTACACATGGCAGTTCGAATACCAATATTGTTACTATGGCCACCAGACAAGGTGGTTTCTATGCATTGCAGGTTTCCCATAAGTCGTCATCCTTCCAGGATGTCTTTTCTATCTGAAGTCCACACGGTCTCTGCATCCGACCATCTCATTGTCAGGGGAGCTACACATATACAATGATGTATTATTTCAATTTCTGTTCTAAAATATGTTCTTTAAAAAATAATTTACAAATTTCGGAGAAATTGATGTGCAATTCGCAGTACATGTATTTATTAGATGAATGTGGCGTAATACAAAATGTCCTGCATTATACGAATACTAATACATGTACGTGGCAAGCTCGCCTCGACAACACACGTGCGATTTCAACCGAACACACATAAATTACCTCCAATGTCAAAACCCAGGCAGACACAGCAAGTTTATGGGCGCTTTATGGCAATCAATACTTGCTTAATCCATGCGCTGCAAAATCTGACATTGAGTGTTTCAAATATGCTGAAAATCGACAATAATGAAATTATATGCAAAATTAGTCTGGTCTCAATTATCGGTTATCCAGTGAAATAAGCGAAGCATTGAATACACTGTTGCTGAAAACAGTCCACGTGCATCACATCACAGGCACGATCTGTTAAACCCATACCCTGAACTGTATCACTTGCAGTTAATTTAGCACTGCAGGTACAGAGGGGTCATATGAAATTCGTCGAACTTTCAAATTTTGAAAAAAATTTTTTTTTGGAATGCATCAACATTTTAGATAACACGATGACATCGAAAACATCATTAACACGAATACGGTTAAATTTGAATTTAACTGGGGGGATTTAGTAAGACGGTTTACCTATAATTAGTGTCTGATGCATGTTGATCCCTGTCAAACTTCCGTCTTGAATTCTTCCTCATAGAAACTTGTGAGACGCCCCCTACCGTTGTTGCGCGGACCTCAGATATCACATGACGAGCTTGTGAAATTAAGGAACCAGTCAGCCCCCAACCACGAAACATGATTTATCTTAACTATTCACGTAAATATAATGGCTTGCCAGTTTCCAAAATTGAGTACCTTTTTACCAGCTTTGTAATTTCCTGTTCAGTCCTATTATGATATAATGTCCCATGTCGTTTATCTGGTTCCCCTATAGCAATGCGCTGTTGCAGACAGGGGCCCAGTTTAAATGGTCGTTATGGCTTAAATGGATTTTTTCTTGTCATTAATGAATCTAAAGAGGTTTATATTGATCACATTTTTACACCTCAACGCAACCGACACAACTGGTTGGTCGCGCCCTTCTGGACGCCCGGTTTATGATATCCGGTTCTATAAACTTCCGGTTTATACGTGAAAGAACCGGAGGCGTTAACCCTACATAGCTGCAATCGTGATGGCGTTGTTTTATTTCAACACGTCGCTTGTTTCACAGAAATACCCGTTGTCCTTACAGAGATCACGTGGCTGGTTACAAAGGCAAGGAAACATGTTCATTTTGACCCCCGACTCACAATCGGGTCTTCTCGGCTTATTCCGCCACCATCATTACGGACAACAAGATGGCCGTGTGTGGTAGACAGGTCATGGTCTGTTGAACACAAAGAAGGTACTAGTAAACACTTTGATTGGAAGGATTGGTTTGTTATTTAACGCCGCACTCAACAATATTCCAGCTATATGACGGCGGTCTGTAAACAATCGAGTTTGGACCAGACAATCCAGTAATTGATATCATGAGCATCGATCTTCACAATTGGGATCGATGACATGCATCAACCAAGTCAGCGAGCCTGACCACCCGATCCCGTTGGTCGCCTCTTACGACAAGCATAGCCACCTTTTACGGCAGGTGTATAGCTTGCTGAAGACTATTCTAACCTGGATCTTCACGGGTTGATTTGAAGGAAAAAACAAAGGAACACGTTCAAGGTTGAGGACTGGCCCCAGACTGGATCGTGTCATTTGATTGTGCACAGAGAAGTAGTTTCAATATGGAGTTCCCCAAACGATGGCGGAGATGGCTATGTATGGGATTGAGACGAGCCGATTGCCTCGCCTCACCGCTGCAGGCAATAACGTGTATGTGTCTGTCGTGGTGAAGGGCCTGATCAACCGAGGAGAATGGTCGTCTTGATGCAGCCTACCCAGGGGTCCCTGCTGACCCAGCTCTGGGACGAGACTCAGACCTTCCTGCAGTTGCCAGCTAGACTAACGCTAAGTCTCTGAAAATATAGAATTTTGATAGAAAGGAATAACTCCATTTTAGTTTAATAGGAGCCCCAGTTTGAGCCACTTGCTTATTTAGGGCTGTAGTATAACAGTAAGGGCTGGGCAAAAGGGAAAATATAATGGTTCAGGAACTGTGAGACAGACTAGCGTAGCAAAAAAAAAAGATAAATAGATCTTAATTAACAGGTTGTGAAAACTGCCGTGGAGTTGGTTCGATATTGTTGTGTTTGCTTGTTGCATTAGCTTTTGATGATATCTGGGTTTGGTCACAGTGATCTAACTGTTCTGTTAGGAGCGCTGTGGTAGCCTAGTGGTTAAAGCGTTCGCTCGTCACGCCGAAGACTCGATCCTTTGAGTACAATGTGTCCGCAGCCTTGATATCGCTGGAGTATTGCTAAAAAACCATCCTTACTCACTCACTACAGTGTGTCCTGTCCATGACGGGGTTGGAATAACTTCGTGTTCTCTATGTTTCAGACATACGTAAGGTCCTGCTTGTGTTTGGTCGTTTTTTTTATGAGTGTTTAAAATGTACCGCAACATGTTTTCTTACGTTTTATTCCCCCTAGCTACGGCCCTGGTTGCATCAACATCCTTTTGTTTTTTCTTAACTCTTCTGAAAAGAAAATGATGGCAACCACGCAGGAAACAGCCATCGTCCAGCTATTAAACATCTCCGGCACAGATTGGATGTTCCCGTGGTTACGGACCGGCTCTCATGGCGATGAAGTGCCGTGCACGTGATAACGTTTGACATATTACCCAGATATCCAATCGCGTGTACGTCTGTCGGGTCAAGTACATACTAAACGAGGCCTATTGGATAACTGGCTGGATATTTCTCTTAAACTGGCTTGATCTTGTTCTTTGTAGCAATCAGCAATTGCGCATGCGTGACTGGCTATATCCGGTTGACTTGTTCCTACAGTATTGACTTCCGTGAGGATACAGACAAGAGTTTCATTTACGCAACACGCACCTATGAATAGCCCGGCAAACCAAACTGGAATCTAATTATTAGGAGAGATTGAGCCCAGAGTTGAAGGGTAATTGATTTGATTTGCCCAGTTTGTGGACTGCTCTGCGCTGTAAGGAGCAGGTTGCAGAACGATGTGCTTTGAAGTCCTCCTTCAATTGGATTTACGCCAAGCCGCGCGCTGGATAAGTCGGCTGCTTGATGTCGTCTGCTGAGGGAGTTGCTCCGATTGGAACAAATTAATTGCGACATCAAACTGACAAGTGATGCCAACACGTAGCTCAGATGGAATGATGGTTGTTACTCCCATCACGTAATCGCCGTTTTTCTTCCATTTCTCCCAACTTTTATCCTTGTGTAGTTGACATGCGCAGTGCTGACAGTTCGAGGACGTTGACACGACCTCAGTGGAATGTTTTCACACGGGAGGATAGAGAAGAAGTTCTTTCTCGCTCTCGAGATTTCATTGACCGGAATTTCCTGCAAAACTACAAAATCAGTAACTCAATTATTCTCTGAAATAACGAGAAATC